TGAATCCACTAACCAGTAGGTTGGCTGTTTGAATCCACTCAGCAGTGCCACTGAATAAAAGGCTGGTGATCTACTCCCATATAAAACGACAGCCTTTGAGACCTTACAGAATGCAGTTCTACTCTGAAACACATGGATTGTGGTGAGTTGGCGTCAACTTGATGCCATTAGGTAGGCTGTCCATCCTAGAGCTATAGGAAGGGCACCGTTGGGAGCAAGTTACAGGAGCAGATGCAGAGATGGGGTGTATTCGTGTACGATGGGAAAGCAGATGGAACCTAAGCCCAGGATTTCTGTTGCTGTGCAGTGTGCTCATGGGTACGTAAGACACCCCCTCCTCATTTGTCAGCTATCTCATTACCTAACCTTTCATATTTACAATAGTAAGAAAATCTATCACTTTAATGATGTACATCTGGCAGTAACAAACTCCAAGGTGCAATGCTGGAGTGGTGGTTAAGGTTACGGCGTCAACTTGCCGTGGAGTCAGTTCCAACTCATAGCGACCCTGTACAGGGTTTCAGAGGCTGCAAATCTTTACGGGAGCAGAAAACCTCATCTTTCTCCTGTGGAACAGCTGGTAGTTTCAAACTGCTGACTTTGAGGTTAGCAGCCTGACTCATAACCACTATGCTACCACAGCTCCTTATGTAATGCTATTGTTGTTGTTAAGTGTCGTTGAGTCGATTCCGACCCATAGTGACCCTATATAGGGTTTCCAAGGAGCAGCTGGTGAGCTTGAACTACGGACCTTGCAGCTCAAATGACTTTGCAGTCTGATGCATTAGCCCACAGCACCACACCAGGACTCCTGTGGTGGTGGTGGTTCTGTCCCCATTTGTAGTGAAGTCTGTTCCTACTCATAGCAACCCTGCACAGGGTTTTCAAGGCTGTCAATCTTTACGGGAGCAGAAAGCCTCATCTTTCCCTTTATTTTGTGATCTGAGGTGGCCATCCTCTATTTTCTCATAATGCCAATTTTCTGATAATGCCCTGTCCATACCTGACAAGAAGACGCAATCGTAACAACAGTGATTAAAATAACAAGTAACATTCATTGACTGTCTATTGTATGCAAGCAGGGTTTTAAACACGTAACAAGCAGTCAGTCCTTTAGCCCAAGCACAAAGCCTTGGTTCTTCCCCTTTTGCAGACAAAGACATTTAAAAGGCTTAGCAGTTGTCCTGAGGTCACCCAGCAATGGACTCTGCACCATTTATCATTAAACAGAAAGAGCAGAACTCTGGGAAGTCTAAGTGACTAGTTAGGGACTCCACTTTGTCCAAGATGCTACTGAAAAATGGTCACTTGTACTTCTGACAAGTGCCAGGGTGACTCTTACTGGGGGAACATGCTATAAAAGGTAGGGGAGGTGCTTTATGTAATGAAGTGGATGATGGGCAAGCATCGTGACTGACCGTGATCTCCTTGTGTTTGCAGAGGCGGCTTCAAAGATCCCACATCTAATCAGTGAGTTTCATCTAACATTGTTTAATTGGAATCACTGTTTCAGGCTTCCACCCTACTCTGTCCGCACCCCTCTGTTCTTATTGCTCTGTGTTTTATCTCTTTAATATGAAAGGGCTTCAAAAAGTTCATGGAAAATGAAATTTAAAAATAATGGTGTTTTTCAAATCTGTTCCACAAGACCTCTTTAAACTGTTTAAGGGCAAAGATTAAGAACTAGGGTGCACCTGACCCAAGCCATGGTGTTTTCAATAATGTAATATGCATGGGAAAGTTGGACAGTGAATAAGGAAGACAGTAGTGTTGCCAAACCGAAATGAAGGCTTGCCACCTGTCACTGTAGCCAATCACAGAGCAGGGAAGATATCCAATCCAAGCTTTAGTAACAGAAAGCCAGCAGTCTGGAGGACAGTGAAAATAACTTCTCAAGACCGTCCTGCCCATTATGAAGAGTGGGCACAATGTATAGGGTAAGTTACATTTGGATGTATACTTTATTTTAACACCAAGACAGCATTTTTTGGAAAAAGAAACAATAAAGCAATAAATTTCTTCAAACACTCTTTTCCCTTTTTAGGGAAAAGGAAACAATCAGGTAATAATCCTTCTCAAACATTCCACCTTTTAGGATCCAAGCTGTTTAGTTCCTGAGATAACTATCTTGGTGGGCTTAAGCACATACGGATCTCCTTTTAGGACCATGAGGTCATCTCAGCTCATTTTTGAACTAACTTCCCCATTTGCAGGGTCTTCATTTATCAAGACCTAATGACTAAACCGACTCCATTTTGTTTAGGTTGGTAGAGCCATGCTATCAATAGAAGAATTGATGCATTTGAGTTATGGTGTTGGAGGAGAATATTAAAAAGTACCATGGACTGACAAAAGAATAAACCAATTTGTGTTGTAAGAAGTACAACTTCCAAGAGTGCTCCTTGAAAGCCAGCCTGGCCAGACTTTGTCTCTCATACTTCAGATCTAAGATCAGGAAGGACCAGTCCCCAGAGAAGGAGATCATGTTTGGTAAAGTGGAGGGTTGAAGAAAAAGAAGACCCCCAATGTGATGGAATGGTACTGTCACAGCAGTCATGGGCTCAAACACAGCCACGATTGTGAGGTTGGCACAGCACTAGATAGTGTTTCATTCTGTTGTGTGTAGGATTGCTAAGAGTTGGTACCCATTTGATGGCACCTAACAACAACGGAGTCCTGGTGTGGTGCTGTGGGTTAGTGTGCTGGACTGCAAAGTCAATTTGAACTGCAAGGTCAGCAGTTCAAGCTCACCAGTCGCTCATTGGAAACCCTATACAGGGTCGCTATGGATCGGAACTGACTCTATGGCAGTTAACAACAATAGAGATCTGATAGAAGGCTATACTCGTTGTATTATTTTTTTAATGAATTATCAGCACAATTCACTTGCTTTTGCCTCCAAGATACCATTAAAGAGATATCCATTTCACTTATTTAATAAAGAGAAAATGTACCAAAAAATTAAATAATGGCATTTTTCCATGAACTTTTTGAAGGCCACTTGCATATTCCTAGTTTCCTATATAAATCTAGCAGAGCTGAGAGAGTCAGTCTATATGTCTTTACACACAGACTCATAATGCCCATTCAAATGACTTTGCAGTCTGGCGCATTAACCCACAGCACTACACCAGGACTCACTGCACATAGATAACTGCTGTTTGATGCCTAAGTCTTAGCAACGACAATGAGACTCATCTCATCAGACTACTCCACATTTAGGAAAATGATGACGCAGAAGTTCACAGGACAAAGAGGTGTTTGGTTTTACCAGGATGATAATTGGAAACGTTCGCATTTCTAACACGAAAGAGTACAATTTAAATGCCACTACATTTCCAGCAAGAGTCCTGGCTTGTGCTGTAGGATAAGCACTAGACTGCAAATTGTAAGGTTAGCAGTTCAAACCTACCAGCCGCTCCTTGGAAACCCTATACAGGGTTGTTATGAGTCAGAATCGACTTGACAGCAGTTAACAACAACAGCAACGTATTTCCAGGGACTGATTAGAAGAAATGACATTTCTGTTAGAGCCCATATACCAGAGAAACAGTAAAACCCACAAGGAAAGAGTTTGGTTGTAACTCTTTGGATTATTATAAAGATTGCAGGAAGGATGACTCAGTTATAATCTTGACACTTATTGGAGGTGACCTAAGAATGCTGCCACCTTGATATGCCCAATGTTTAAAAAATTTAATGGTTTTTATTTAAGGGTTTCTTCTTATATCCACAGCTATTCCAACAGCAATGCCTAAGACAATAACACCAAGACCAGGTAAGCCCTGGGAACACACCCATTCATTCCCCAAGCAAGACCAGGTAAGCCCTGGGAACACACCCGTTCATTCCCCAGGCAAGACCAGGTAAGCCCTGGGAACACACCCGTTCATTCCCCAGGCAAGACCAGGTAAGCCCTGGGAACACACCCGTTCATTCCCCAAGCAAACTTTCCATTTCTACCTGTTTCATTAGCAGAAAATGGACCAATTGCAGTTGATTCTCCAAAACTTCTAGGGCCTCTCAAAACCACTGGGATCTTTTGGTTTTGACATCCCAGGATGAACAAAGTTCATTTTTCTGTGTCTTTCATAGTCTTCAAAGTGTGAGCGGCCTATCCGTGCCTCTAGTGGGATTCTTTGCTTCTTTATATGGTGGAAGTGATCAAAGTTAGCTTCACATTGTGCATCCCTAAAGACTTTTCCAAAGTGAGATAGATGAGCAGAGAAAAATCAGAGAACTTTGGGGTTAGGAGACTTGAGTGTCAATCTGTTACTTTGAGGGGAACTTCTTTGCTTCTTCAATCTTCAGTGCCTTGCAGATAATACGGTCACACTAATACTTTCCTGGACTTCTGGTGTGGCGCTGTGGGTTAATGTGCTGGACTGCCAAGTCAGTTTGAATCGCAAGGTCAGCAGTTCAAGTTTACCAGCCGCTCCTCAGAAACGTTATACAGGGTCACTGTGGGTCAGAAACGACTCGACACTTAACAACATTACTCTCCTGATTACCTTCCTGAGTTCTTATAAGGGTGAAGATACGCAAACACACACACCTGTTTTGTTGTTAAGTGCCATCAAGTCAGTTCTGACTCATAGCAACCCTGTATAGGGTTTCTGAGGAGCAGCTGGTGAATTTGAACCACCAACCTCGTAGTTCAAACTGACCTTGCGGTCGAGTGCTTTATCCCACAGCACCACACCAGGACTCCTGCTTTATAAAGTTACAAATCACTACACAAATTATTTATCATGTTTTTTCTGCATTTAGCTGAAATAAATTGGCACATGCCTCTGGCAAAATCTACACCTAGTTAAAGAAATTTTTCAGACTAAATGCTGTTTGGCAATCTGCATGGCATATCATCTTCTTCCTCAGAGCTTGACTAATTGACTCCTCCATCCCTAATAGTAGAGTCTAGGGGTGGGGAGAGGGGGACCCGCTCATGGAAAGCAGGCAGTATCCTGAGGGGACAACAATTACTGGGTTTCTGTCTCTAGGCGCCTGGCCACAGCTGCGTCTGGTGGGTGGCTCAGGTCGATGCTCCGGCCGTGTGGAGGTCTTCCACCAGGGAACCTGGGGCACTGTGTGTGATGACCTGTGGGACCTCAATGAAGCGGAGGTCGTGTGCCGTCAGCTGGAATGTGGCCGGGCCATGTCTGCCCTTGGGAAGGCCCACTTTGGTCCAGGCTCTGGGGACATCCTCCTAGACAACCTTCAGTGTGCAGGTGTGGAACGGTTCCTGGGCCAGTGCGCTCACTCGGGCTGGTCAGAGCACAACTGTGGTCACCACGAGGATGCCAGTGTCATCTGCTCAGGTAAGCTCCCTGTCCCGTCTTCTGAGTATACAGAATCAGTCCGTGACCCTCAAGCCTACAGCATTCCATTTCCGCTGTAACTGTTCTAACTTGGAGTCCTGGTGTGTCAACGTAAGGTAAGCAAAAGGTCGGCGGTTCAAACACTCCAGTTGCTCCTTCGAAATGCTATCTATCCAGGGTCCCTAGGAGTCAGAACTGACTCCACAGCATTTAACAACAAGACACTTATCGTGGAAGGAGTTCTGGTAGCATAGTGGGCTAGGAGTTGGGTTGCTAAGAGTTTGGATCTACCAGCCGCTCTGTGGGAGAAAGATGAGGCTTTCTGCTCCCATGAAGATTCAGAGTCCTTGCATTGCACCACAGGATAAGCACTCGACCTCGAAAGGTCGGCAGTTCAAACTCACCAGCAGTTCCTCAGAAACGCTATACAGGGTCACTATGAGTCGGAACCAACTGTGAGTCAAAACGGACTCCACAGCACTTAACAATAAAAACAACATTCTAACTTAAGTAGTCAAGTGTTTAACTGATAGCCTCAGAATAAAATCTAATTTGGTAGTCAGAATTACCAAAGGAATAGGTGTTTGATTGAATAGTTGTTGTTGTTAAGTGCCATCAAGTCGGTTCTGACTCACAGTGACCCTGTATAGGTTTCTCAAGGAGCGGCTGGTGAGCTTGAACTGCAGACCTTTCGCTTCAAACTGACCTTGCAGTCCAGCGCACTAACCCGCAGTGCCACCACCACCACCATCACCACACAGCACCTGAGAAAGAGTTGTTGTTGTTATTAGGTCAGGTTGATTTTGACTCATAGTGACCCCATGTACAACAAAACAAAACACTGCCCAGTACTGCCCATCCTCACTATTGTCACTGTGTCAGAGCCCACTATTGCTCCACGCTGTCAATCCATCTTGTTGAGAGTCTTCCTCTTTCTCACCAAGCATGATGGACTAGTCCCTCCTGATACTGTCCAAAATATGTAAGACCAAGTCACATCATCTTCACTTCTAAATTCTGACTGTATTTCTTCCAACACAGATTTGTCTGTTCTTCTGGTGGTCCATGATGGGCTCACTATTCTTTGTCAACATCATCATCCAAAGACATCAGCTCTTCTTTCATCTTTCTTATCCATTGTCCAGCTTTTGCCCATATATGAGGTGATTGAAAATACCACAACTTGGGCCAGGTACACCCTAGTCCTCAAGTGACCTCTTAGCTTTTGCACACTTATAAAAGTCTTTGCAGTCCAATGCGATGCAGCCTTTGATTTTTTTTTTTTACTGCTGTTTCCATGGGTGTTGCTATGTGGATCCAAGTAAAACGAAATTCTTAACAACTTCAATCTTTTCCTGATTATCATGCTGTTACTTATTGATCCAGTTGTGAGGATTTCTCTTTTCTTTATATTGAGGTGTAACCCATACTGAAGGCTGTAGTCTTTGGTTTTTATTTGTAAGTGCTGCAAGTTCTCTTTGCTTTCAACAAACAAGATTATGTCATCCACATATCACTGCTTGGCAACACTTCTTCCTCCAATCCTGACACCGTGTTCTTCTTCATATATTCCAGCTATATGAGAAAGAATTGTTGCTGTTGTTGTTGTTGTTAAGTGCCATCAAGTTGGTTCTGACTCATAGTGACCCTGTACAGGGCTTCTGAGGAGTGAGTGACTGGTGGGCTTTAACTGCTGACCTTGCAGTTAGCAGCCCAGTGCTTACCTTACAGTGCCACATCAGGACTCCATTAGAAAGAGTGGCAGCTATGTGCGGTCAAGTCAGTTCTGATCATAACGATCCTGTATAGGGTTTCCAAGGAGGGGCTGGTGGGTTTAAATGTTTGACTTTGCAGTTCAAACTGAACTTGTGGTCCAGCACTTTATCTTTAGTGTCACCACAGAACTGAATGATTGTTGTTGTTGTTGTTGTTGTTGTTAAGTGCCGTCAAGTCTGTTCCAACCCATAGCAACTCTGTATAGGGTTTCCAAGGAGCAGCTGGTGAGCTTGAACCACCAACCTTGCAGTTCAAACGGCTTTGTAGTCTGACGCATTAACCCACAGCGCCACACCAGGACTCCTAAATGTACTATGTTGTTGTTGTTGTTGTTGTTAGGTTCCATCCAGTCGGTTGCAACCCATAGTGACCCTGCATAGGGTTTCCAAGGAGCAACTGGTGAGCTTGAACCACCGACCTTGCAGTTCAAATGGCTTTGTAGTCTGGCGCATTAACCCACAGCGCCATAGAGGCTGCATATTAAGTAGTTTTTAGTCCATTTCCTCTCAGTCACAATCCACCAAGCAAATCGGTAAGTAGATTAGCCTGACTAGTTGTAATTGTCATGTGACAATTTAAAAAATATTTTGGATTTGTTGTTGCTGTTAGTACCATCGAGTCAGTTCTGACTCATCATGACCTATATAAGGTTTCCACACAGCAGCTGGTGGGTTTGAACAGCTGGCCTTGTGGTTCGAAGTCTAGTGCTGACCCCTCAGCATCGCACCAGGTGTCCATTTTGGATTTACTTGTGTATAAACAATTAGCTTGGAGTGAGTTAGTTATTCTGGTGATAACCTTCCCTACAATAAGAAGTCTCTTGATAAACTAACAGCTGCAATATAGCACGGTGTGACCTTAACTCAAAGAGGCACTTACGGCACAGAGAAGCTATGGGGAGAAGAAGAAGCTCAAATGTATATCAGCACCTGCCATTGGTGACATTTCATCTGAGGCACATATTTAAAATCATTGTTTTGCTTGTTGGCATATTCATGCTTCTCATGGTTTTATGGCACACCTAACCCAGCTACAAGGAGTTCTGGTAGTGTAGTGGTTATGAATCAGACTGAGAACCACAAGGTCAGCAGTTTGAAACTACCAGCTGTACCGTGGGAGAAAGATGAGGCTTTCTGCTCCCTTAAAGATTTACAGCCTCCAAAACCCTGTTCAGGGTCACTATGGGTCAGAACTGACTCGATGGCACTTAACAACAACAACAACACAGCTACAGCCTAACAGGTCATGGGTTATTCCCCTATTCAGATGTTCTGAAGGACGGCTGTCTAGATCTAAGGTTCCCCAAGTGAAACTCATCAGCTCCAAAACTCATGGTCGTCATTGTTGTGTTTTAAGTGCCATCGAGTGGGTTCCAACTCATAACAAGCCTGTATAGGGTTTCTGAGAAACGGCTGTTGAGGTTGAACTTCTGATCTTGTGGTTCAAACTGACCTTGAGGTTCAGTGCATTACCCTACAGGGCCACAGCAGAACTCCATGGTTCATGTCAAACCATCCCAAGTGCACATCCATCTGACCAATGTCTCATGGTCACTAGCAAACCAGTGACCAATAATAGCTAAATCTTCTGTCTGCATGAATCTGGTTCTCCCTGTACTATGTTATTTAAAGGGACCAATGTTTCCCATAATAAACACTTATCAGAATGTCATCAAAACCAGTGTCTTTAGTTATTAAAGATAGGATTCCTCAAAAATACTGACCTATTTATCCTCTACATCAACAGATGCTGAAGAATCACTTGTTAACAATCCAGGTAAGTGGCACCTTTGCTAATAGGAGACAGGACAAGTTAAACACAGCAGGTCCCAGTATTGCCTGGAGCTATTTATTCTCCCAGCTCCAAATTTACTCCTTCTCTGACCTGCAGAGATTTTCATCACATTGAGATGCCATTAGAAAGTCTTCTTTGGAATTTTTTTTTGTCGTGTGATGATGGCTTTGCGGATTTTTGTTTTGTAATGTTCATACTTTTTAGAATTACCTGCAGGAGTTTAGTGGCATTTCAGGGCCTTTTTGTGTATGCTAACTTCTCTGGCCCAACTCTCCCCTGACTTTTATTTTTAGACGGCCTTTCCAGACTCTTCCTCTTTATTGTCCTCGTTCAAGCGCCCTAATACTCTCCATCACTGCGCATACTGCACTGTGGATGAGTCCCTTGTACTATTGTCCAGATTTGACTAATAGACTGTAGGCTCTGTGAAGGCTGGAGGTTCCAGTACACCCCACGAGGCCTTAGAATAAAACCTAGTGATCTCCTCTACAAACTTAGCCATTGAGATCCCTACGGACCACAGTTCTACTCCGACATATATAGGGTCTTTATGAATCAAAATCAACTCAACAGGAACTGGTTAAGACTTCCCGAAGGCAGGAACCATATCTCTTCCATTCATAACTATAATGCTATGCCTAACATGAAAGACTGTATGTATTAAATTAGCTGAAGACAACACATCTTGCAGCTCACAAATACACGAGAAATGTTAAGAGCAGGCTCCAAGGTCCCAGACCAGTGCCTGTCCAATCCCTGGCCTTCCCCATAGTCCTGTTCCCCTCTGAGGTGCTGGTAGAACCCAGGCAACATCTTTCAGGGACTCACACATTACATCTTTGTCCACAGGGGACTGGCCCAAGCTGCGGCTGGTGGGAGGCTCAGGTCGGTGCTCGGGTCGTGTGGAGGTCCTCCACCAAGGGACCTGGGGCACTGTGTGTGATGACCTGTGGGACAATCGTGAAGCTGAGGTCGTGTGCCGCCAGCTTGGGTGTGGGCAAGCCATCTCTGCACTTGGTGAGGCCCACTTCGGCCCAGGCTCTGGAGACATCTTCCTGGACAACATCCAGTGCTCAGGGGTGGAGCGTTTCCTGGGCCAGTGTGCTCACTCAGGTTGGGCAGAGCACAACTGTGGTCACCACGAGGACGCCAGTGTCATCTGCTCAGGTAACCTCCCCTGTCAGCCCACTAGCTTATAATGTCGATGAGTCCTGGATGGAATTCCATCACCATCCATTTGCCCTTTGTTGCATGACACCCCTCGAGCTTCTACTCTGAGCAAGGCCCTGGGCTCAGGCACTTCCCTGCCAGGCAGTTCCCAGGGTTCAGCAGGGAAGGTCTTGAATTTTAGCAAACACAACACTGTCTGGAGCACTCCAGTACAGATTCCAGGGCCCCATCTCCAGAGTCTGGAATTGACTAGGTTTTAAAAGGGGTTTAAGAAGCTACACTTTAATAAATAGTCCAGGTAATTCTACAAAAGGTACCAAAGGGTAACTCAGGCCTGGGTACTATGGGGCAGAGTAGACCCAGAAACTGTGCCTCATCCCCCAAGGGATGTCTGGAAGAGAGTTGGAGCTACCCAGTGTGGGGTCTCAGTGCTCAGAGCCCCATGCCCAGAAAGGCCATGATCTTCATGCTCTTCATTCACACCCTTGTAACCCCAACTTCCTACACTTTGGAATCACTAAGGAGGGTGACCTATTGCCTTTCTTTCTGCATTCAGATGCTGAAGACCTACCTCTTTCCACACCTTCAGGTATGTCTACTTTTTTTCTGGTCCAGGCAACTTTCTAATGATGATGATGTGATGATGAATGATGATGATGATGGTGATGTGGTGATGTGATGATGATGGTGATGTGGTGATGGTTGATGATGTGGTGATGATGATGGTGGTGGTGATGTTGATGTGGTGATGGTAATGATGATGGTGATGTGATGATGATGATGGTGATGTGATGATGATGATGGTGATGATGTTGGTGATGATGATAGCAAGCACTTACCAATGCTAAGAAGCAGACACTGCTCTAAGCCCTTCACGAGTATCTCTCATTTTATCCTTCCAATAACCCTTGAGACAGATACTTGGTTATTCCCATTTTACAGACAGGTAAATGGAGACTTACTGTATGCACTCTTATTGTAGGCCTTACTGTAGGCGATCTTGGTCACCACATTACACTGTCTTCCAATCTCACTGACCACACAGTGCATTCACTGGCCCCAGATACACAAAGACCATGTGACAGTAGAGCAAAGATGGGAAGACATTTGGTTCAAATGATTGCTCATCCTCAGATAATCCTGCAAAAAATATATTTCATTATGTATCTTATAGATGAAAAATTTGAGACTCAGAAAGGTTATGTGACTTTTCCCAAATCTGTGTGGCTCCACAACACATGCTGCTTAGAAGCTTCTAATTTTGTCTGATTTCAAAGAGCTAATCATTAAATGATCAAATAATACTTACCTGTAATCAAAACCAAGAGCAAAACACCACTGCCTTTGAGTTTATTCCAACTCATATCAGCCTTACGGAACAGAGCAGAACTGTTCCCTAGGGTTCCCATGGCTGTCAATCTTTACAGAAGCAGACTGCCACATCTTGTCTGTGGGTGGGTGCAAACCACCAACCTTCGGGTTCACAGCCCAATACTTTACCCACTGTGCCACCAGGGCACCGTAATAAAAACCTGAAGGCTAGAAAGGCCCAACCAGCACATGTAATATAAATTCTAAAATGATGCTGGAGTGAATGAAAAGGCCTTTTTTTTCATTGCAATGGAGATTTCCAAGGGCCTGCATAGTGAATTTGCATAAGTTAATTTATTTGATCCTCACAATGGAAGTTTAGGGAGGCAAGCATTCTGCTGTAGGTAATATCAATTAAAACAAGCAGAAATAGAGTTTACAAACCCCGTCTTGGGCCCTTTGGATACCCCTGACTGTTCCTACACAGCCTCCAATAGCACAAACAAATCACCCATTGACTGAAGCATCTCTCTTGCTGTTTGCATGGGGAAGGACTTAATGTGACTGAATGTTTGAGAGGAAAAGCGCATGCTATGTGCTGGAGTCTTGAATGAGAGGAGAGAGCTGTGTAAAGTTGGGTCAAGGCAGGGAGTTACTCAACTGAAGTTTTCTCATTCTTATGTAACTCAACTCAACTAAATATTACATGAAGAATGGGGAAATAAGGGAGCCAATGTTGAGTAAAAGGACCTATGCTGGTTATCCATTGCTCCTCCAAAACTTAGTGGTTTAAAACAGCAACCATTTAACTATAGGTCAAGGTTTTGTAGGTCAGGGATTCGGGCAAGACTCCCCTGGGAGAGTCTTCTGCTCCACACGGCACTGAAGAGCCACTTGGTGGCATTTACTTGGTTACTGGTCTGTTCAGGAAAGTCCAAGATGGTTTCACTTGTGTGCCTGGTGCCTTGGTGGTGGCAGTTGGATGGCTTAATTCAGGAGGGACTCTCTCACCTTCCAAAAGGTCTTGGGCTTCTTCCAACAGAGTTGTTAGTCTTCTTACAAGATGAGTTAAGGGCTCCATGAGTGAACCTGTGTTCCCAGAGACAGGAAGTGGAAAATAGCAGTTTCTTGAACACAGTGTCACTTCTGCCATGCCCTCTTGGTCAAAGCAGTCAGTGAGACCACTCAGATTCAAAGCCTGGTGACAGGAGTCAAGTCAAAGAATGTGTGACCTTCTTTCCTCTGTCACCAAATGGGAGCAAGCATTCACTCTGCAGCATCAGACCTTTCTGTTTGCACTCAGGACTGCCACATGGCTCTAGAAAACCCTTGGTATTTCACTAACTTGTAGGTGAAGTACTTCCTTTGGATGTCATCATCAGCTTCCTTTTTCTCCTATAGGTCTTTCGACAGCACCTCAGGATGACATTACAGGTAGACACTTGCTTCATATTAAAATGGTAACTCCATTCTAAGAAACCCATCATGGCAGGCGCTAGGCCATGTGCCCAGGATGGAGCATGGGGAAAGACTGGTTTCATGTGGGTGAGGAACCACTTTTTCCAAAGTGGCCAGGGCAGTCAGGGCCCTGGCCAAAGAAACCTCTCAGTGGAGAAACCCCTCAGTCTACATCACAGCTTTGCTGAGGGGTGTGGCATTGATGTTTCTGTCACACTGCAAAGACTGACTTTTGCGAAACCGAAAATGTGGATCAGATTGGCCAGCATCAGAAAGAGGGCAGGACTTGAAGAAAGTGTGACTCACTTAGTCTGGCCCAGGGTTCAGCCTGCTTGTTTGGGCACCAGTCCACCATCCCCTGCTACAGGGAGAACCTTTGGGAAGTCGTCTTCCTAGGGATTCCATGTGATGTGGATACAGTTATGGTGGCCTGGAAATGCAATCCACAATAGATTTATAGACGACTGGATGGTCTCCACTCTCACCCTTCTCCCTCTTCTCCATTTCCCACCCCCCCTTTCTTTCTCCCATCTCCCTATCTCCCCAATAACCACTAATGTTTTAGCAAGAAAGACTTGGAATCTAGGGGGTGGGTGGGCTCTGTGAGCATGATGAACTGGCTGGGGTGGCCACAGAAAGGAGACAAATTAAGAAGCTTCGTAATTTAGGGACCAGGTCAATTAAGCATACTGTGCTTTCAAATTCCCTCTAAAATAATTTGATGGTGCTAAATCGTCTGCCTTGTGTGGGGGGGGGGGAGGGAAGGGCATGCTATTGCCTGTGTTTACATGTAAATGATTCTCTGTGCTAATATGACAACTAATGTGAGAGAGTTAGGTCTCACCGTTATCTTGTTTGATGCTTGTGAATCCAAAACCTACCAATTCCTGTCTCAAAGCAGATACTGAGAGAAAGGGAACACAGTCTACCCACAAAGATGATGTGTGAAAGTCACTGATTCCTTCCTGGCCTGATGAAAAGGAAGCTTTATAACCCCCCATCCCCATTGTTTCCAATTTCATCAGATTCCAAAATTGTTTGGGAGGCTCTTGCTCCCCAAAATGCCTCAAACTTTCTCCTGACAGCAGTATATGTCTCCACTATTTGTCTCCCTTCCTCGTCTAACATTCTATAGATAAACACTGCTCTCTCCTAGCAAGCAAGAATGCTCCCACTGTAGAATGGAGAGCAGACAGTGAACAGAAACACAGATGCACCATTTTCCTTACAAGAATTCAACTGAATAGAGTCTCCTTCTCAAAGAGGAGGGTAGGCTCTAGGTCAATTCAGACAGCATGTGCACCCACCCAAGCAAACGGCTGCCTGAACCCACCAGGCCACTGGCTGTGGGCTTGTCATTATTGGGAGTGCACAGGTGATAAAAGTGAACACATCCTGACCCCTTTTTCCTGTGGTTTCAGGAGGAAGTAACTATTGTGGCGGGGTCATTTCCAGTCTCTCGGGCTCATTTTCTAGTCCGAATTATCCAGAAAGCTACCCAACAGACATCCAGTGTGTTTGGGAGATCCACGTGGATCAAAACTTTCGGATAGAACTCATGATTCCAAGTTTGAAGTAAGAAAATGATTTTTTTCAGAGTCTATCTGAATAAGGATATTGATTTGTGATGTGCTAATAAAGATATTTCTTTTAGTGGGGAACATCTATAGACAAGATGAGAAGAACATAAAATTCTATAGACTTTCTGAGTTGAAGTCTGAGTAAATTTTATAGTGCTATGCAATGAATCCTGGAGTCCTGGTTTGGCGCTGTGGGTTAATGCGCTGGACTGCAAAGTTGGTTTGAACCACACCAACAACATGCAATGACTCCAGATGTGGTGCTGCAGTATAAAGCACTGGACTACAGGGTCGGTTTGAACCACAAGGTCAGCAGTTTAAACTCACCAGCTACTCCTCAGAAACTCTATACAGGGTGGCTATGATTCAGAACCAACTCAATGGCATTTAACAACAGCCCTGAGTGACAGATGTCTTTGCCTTCCACTATTCAGGAGACTAAGAAGCGGCAGCTGAGAGGGGTTAACTAACTTGCCTACAGCTACATGGTCTGTATGATGCAAAGCCCCAGCTCTGTAAAGGAAGCCTGTCCTGTGTCAACTCCTTTCCTTTCTGTAGATGCCACACGTCCTGTTACAAACAGCAATGCTGTGGCATGCTATGCTAACTCAGATTATGGCATGCACTCAACTGTTACTCAGGTCTGACTATACCAAGAATATAGAGTCAGACATGTCCTCAAGCCAAGGAAGGTCCTAGAAACCTGTTCTGTCTGTTAATATTAAAACCCTAAGCCACATGGAGTCCTGGTGTGGTGCTGTGGGTTAATGTACTGGACTGCAAAGTCAGTTTGAACCACAAGGTCAGCAGTTCAAAATCACCAGCCAGTCCTCAGAAACCCTACATAGGGTCACTCTGGGTTGGAACTGACTCTACAGCACTTAGCAACAACAATAACAAGCTAACCTAATGATTGTTGGTTTGAACCCATCCAGAAGGATCATGGAAGAAATGCCTGACAATCTTCTTCTATAAAAAGAAGCTCATGTTCTTTTATGGAGCTCAGTTCTACTCTGTCACATATGGTAGCCAGGAGTCCAAATTGATTTGGCTGCAATGACTTTCATTTGGGTTTGGTTTATGATCTAAAAATTGGTTTAAGATCTAAAAATTCCTAACCTGCTTCTAACTGTCCAATCCTGTTCCCTGCAGACTGGAAGATGTCCTGGGATGTCCCTATGATTCGGTGGAAATCTTCGATGGCCCCAGGATCGCCTCGCTCTCCATGGGGAAGTTCTGTGCCCCTGTCACTGTGATCTTTTTCTCCTCCTCAGACATCATGACTGTGGTGTTCCGGAGCGACGCCATGATAACCAACATCGGCTTTTATGCTCTGTTCAACGCCATTCCACAGACTGAAGGGGGGTCAGGTAGGAAGAACAAGTAGGCCTTTGGTCTTTAAAAGACAGAACAGCTATGTAATTTGAGAGACTCCCCTATTAGTAGAAGGAATCCTGGTAGCATAGTGGATTACAAGTTGGGCTGCTAACTGCAGTTCAAATCCACCAGCCTCTCCAAGGGAGAAAGAGGAGGTTTTCTGCTCCCATAAAGATTTACAATCTCAGGAACCCGCTGAGTCAGAACCAACTAGACGGCACACCACCACTACCACCTATTCACAGAATCTGAGATTAAGTTTTAAAAGACCCTCACATTTAGTCCCATCCCCCTTACTCCATAGCTACTAGCTTTTCGCTCTAAGAGAACCACGTGGGCAGCTGAAATGAGGCCAACAGTGGAGTCCAGGTGACTCCTCTCCATAGGGAAAAGCTGTCTGCTAGGAAGGATCTAAGGAGCCCTGGTGGGGCAAAGATCAAGCGCTTGGCTGCCAACTGAAAGGTCGGCAGTTCAAATCCACAAGTTGCTTCGTGGGAGAAAAGACCTGGTGATCTGCTCCCATAAAGATTACACCTTAAAACCCCTATGGAGGCAGTTCTACTTTGCCCTGTATCGTCACAGTGAGTTGGAATGATTCTGTGGTATACAACATCAAGGATCTGTGGCTGCACCAGCCTCTTGGGACCTGTCCAGAGTTCTGAAATCTGGAAGGCAAACTCTTCTAGGAGAAGCGTCCATTTCCCTCCACCAGCATGCATTGGACCCTAGACCCACCCAAATGTGAGGCTCAGGGACTTCTATCAGTCGTGGGCTCCAAGGCAGTCATTCCAGAGCCGGGCCCAACCTTCATCCTGTCCACACATTGCCTGTTGGTCATGGGACCCTGCAGGAGCCCCAGTAACTTTTTTGGGGAGGCCGGGGGTAAGAGTAAGAAGTGAGGGATGGGGTTGGGACTATGGCTAGGTCCTTGGATAGACCTAGGACTTGGTTTATTGTTAAGGTTATGGTTAGGACTAGAGTGAGGATTGGGCTAGAGTTAGGGGTAAAGCTTAGACTAGTTTTTAGGGTTATAGTTAGGTTTGTTTTTATTTATTTTATTTTTTTCTTGAAATCTGTTTGATGTCCTCTTCACTCAGAAGTTTGGATAATTCCCTCTTTTTCCTTTATGTTTTTGTTGCAACTGTATCTCTGGTTCTCTTCGGTCTTACAGGTCTGTTTTACTTTGCACTTCTATATCTGGGTGTGTCTGGGTGATATTGTCATGTAGGTTACTCTCATGTTATTGTCTGCTGTTCTTGGTGAGTACACTCTGTCCAAAGAACTCCTTTTAGCATTTTTTGTAAAGTTGGTCTAGTTTTTACAAATTATTTTCATTTCCGTGTGTATGAAAGGGACCTAATTTCACCATCATATTTGATGGACAATTTTTTTTGGATATATGGTTTTTGGCTGGCAATTTTTTTTTTCTTTCAGAGTTTTATATATGTCCTCCTATTGTTTTCTTACCTACATGGTTTCTGCTGAGAGATCAGAGCTTAGTCTTATTTGTTTTTCTTTGTAGAAGAAAACTTTTCATTTTTCCTAAGTTGTTCTCAGGATTCTTTCCTTGTCTTTGGTTTTGAAAAGTTTGTTTATACTATGACTTGGTGTTTTTCTTTGCGGGGGGGGGGGGACGCGGGGGGGAGAGTTGTCTATCCTGTTTGGAGTTCGTTCTGCTTCTTGAATGGCTATTTTCTTGTCTTTCGTGATGTTAGGAAAGTTTTCTTCCAACAACCCTTGGACAATATTCACTATGGGTTTGTTTTTTGTTGTTGTTTATTTATTTATTTATTTACGTTTTGGAATTCCAATCACAAGTAAGGCATTCCTCTTGATAGTGTCCCACATAAATGTTAGGCTTTTTAATTTTTAATATTTTCTTCATTTTTCTGATTGTCCCTCTAGCAGATGATTATTGAGAGATTTTTCTTCAAGCTCAGCAATTTGGTTTTCCATTGAGTCAGCTGTTTCTTTGCTCTTTCAGTGTATTATCCATTTCTGGAGTTTTTATGTTAATCTTCTGGCTTCCTAATTGCTGATTTTGTTTGGTTCACATTTTTCCAGTTATTTTGTCAATTTGTTTCTTAATTTTCCCCATAGTTTCATCTATGTTTTCCTTCATTTCATCTGTAATTTTCTTGATTTTCCAATCCACTGAAGCTGCTTAATTAACATTCATTTAAATTCCTTAACCAGGTAGTTCCAGTAGCATTTCTGGTATTTTCATTTTTTGAAGCACTCTGTCTTGTTTCTTTTGTAAACTGAAATCGTGTTTTCTCTGAGACATTGTGGTGTCTTATTTATATTTATATGGAGTCCTGGTGTGGCACTGTAGGCAGCTCAAACCCACCAGCTGCTTCTTGGAAACCCTATATAGGGTCTCAATGAGTTAGAATTTGATGGCACATAACAACAACAATTTCTATTTCGTTGATGAGTGTATACTGGTATATTCTCAGGCACTCCCCACCTGTCTGTCTCCTGGTGGATGTGGTTGAGACTGGAAGTATAAATGCAGTTAGCTCTTGATTTATGTAGCCATAGTTCAGGGTGGGCTCTCATGCCTCCAGGAGCAGGGGCACTATGCCAGGTGCCCAACCCCAGGAAGAACAGAGTGGGTACCACTGGCTGCTGGTTGGCAAGGGCAGGATTAGCCATGCCCCCAACTACCAGGAGAGCACAGGAACAAGGGAGAACTGCACTGCTCTGTTGCCAACCTCCAGTCACGTCCTGTGCCCACAGGCCGCTGTATCAACAGCCTCTCACAAAAGCTCAAGACAGCTGTGCTGCTCCATGGCAGCCCACTGTCTGCTCATTTTTCTCCTCTCGCACTGCTCCTTTCCAGCTTCCTCTTCCAGCCAAGTTGGCACATAACCTTAACCATCACACTTCCCAAACCTGAAAGTAAAATTCTGTTCTGTTTAGGTGATGAACCAGTGCTGAGGCTAGTAGGCGGCTCGGGTCGGTGCTCGGGCCGTGTGGAGGTTCTCCACCAGGGAGCCTGGGGCACCGTGTGTGATGATCTGTGGGACCTGAGCGAAGCTGAGGTCGTGTGCCGACAGCTCAAGTGTGGACAGGCCGTTGCCGCCCCTGGAAAAGCCCGCTTTGGCCCAGGCTCTGGAAACATCCTCCTGGACAACATTCAGTGTTCAGGAAATGAGAATCACCTTGGCCAGTGCTCCAGCTCTGGCTGGTCAGACCACAATTGTGGCCACCACGAGGATGCCAGTGTCGTCTGCTCAGGTATCCTCTTCTCATGCAACAGGATCTTTGATATTTCCGCCCCTGGTATTTTAGTGATGGCAACTATGCCAAGGAAACAAAAAGAGGTGATCCAACAAATGAGTGTCCCTTCAGCTTAATAGACAGAATACTGGACGCCTCTTTCCATCTTGAGAATGGGCTCAACAGGACCATACACTGGCTGTCTAGTCTCTGTCCCTCTCCCAGATCTGAGGCTGCTTGTCCAGAGTGCAAACATGCCCTTGTTCTTGTTTATGTTCCTGGTAAGACTGCCTACTCAAGACCTGTCCACCCTAGAACGCCACCACTTCTTTGTCCTAATAGAACTCAATTCCTAGTTTCTAATGAACTTTTATTTTTATCTTTTATATGTGCAGATGCTGGAGAATGGTCTCCAGATGTGACCCCCACATCCTCAGGTAGGTCTAATACTGTGATTCTCCACAATCTCTGCAAAGTTAATAAGAAATCAGCCTACCTGTCCTGACCTGGGCCTTGGTGGGCAAGGGGCTAGGACCAGTGATGTCAATTGCTGGCTATGTACTTAGACTTACCTGCAGAGCTTTTCAAAAGTCCCAGTGTGCAGAGGCTTCCTCACAGACCAGTCACAGCAGAACCTCTCAGGCAGCACACAGTCATCGTTCATCTTAAACTCACACCATCAAGTGTGCAAACAAGATTGAGAACCAGTGGCTTCAACAACAAGCTAAGAGTCACATTTCCCAACTGAAATCACACCCCAAACTCTTGTTGCTAGACAACAGAGCAAGGAAAGGAGGAGAAGGGGTCTGACATATAGAGCAGAGAATGTGGAAATGTTTGCCTCTCAGGGACATGAATTAGAAAAGAAAGTGGGAAGGCAGCTGGTAATAAATGCTAAGCTCTCTCCCAGTGAGTCAAGAGCAAACTGGTGGTGGGAAGTGAAACCATCTGAACCTCCTGGCCTGACCCAACACAGTAGGCATAGAGAAAGGTAGACCTTCTTCTGGTGACCTCCCAAACACAAGATTCAAACCAGACCCAGAGCACCTTTATATAGAACCCCACTGTAGTGTTAACATAGAAAGGCATTTCTTGATGGAGCATTGTATGCCTACATGTTGTTGTTGTTTAATGCTGTCAATTTGGTTCTGACTTATAGCAACCCTGTTTCCAAGGAAAGGCCGGTGGATTTGAACTGCCGACTTTGAAGTTCAAACTGACCTCGTGGTCCAGTGCTATTCCTATAGTACGACACCAGGACTCTGCACCTACCTTGTTGCTGTTGTTGTTAAGTGCCATCAAGTCAGTTCTGACCCATAGTGACCCTGTATAGGGTTCCAAAGGAGCACCTGGTGAGCTTGAACCACCAACCTTGCAGTTCAAAAAATAGGACCTTTGCCATCTAATTCTCTGAGAGAAATCTTGTATATTTAGTATTTCAATTAAAAAAAAAAAAGATTGTTTATGAGATACTTTAGGTGGAAAAGGAAGTCATTTTGTTGATATCCAATACCCTTTCCTAGCAAAAGTCTACAAAGGATAGGCAGTTGATAGTGTCTGTCACCTTCATTGCTATTCAACTTGCAACATTGTACAATAGAGATAAAGGATTCTCATATGCATGGATCCATTTGCTTCTAAAGCCTTCCCCACTAAAGTCTTTGTGTAAAACTCAAACATCTGCATTCTGACTGTCCTTCTCTTGGCTTGCCATGTGGTGAAAGATGTGCTAAATAGAAGTCAAATCAAAAAGATGGGTGAAAGGAGAAAGAGGGGTCTTGAACGCTTGTGCCTGGTCAACTGTAAAGGTACACGTTTTGTAACAAAAAGGGGGAAGTAGTTAATCTTACAGTCCAGGAACAGAAGACCCTAGGACCATGAAGGGAGAAGAGCACAGAGTGTGGGACCCTATCCAGAGAAGCAGCGACACCAGAGATGGAGGCAGACATGGGGACGTGGAAAGAGGGAGCAGCTAAGGACTCTAGATTCATGGAAAAAGAGGGTCTGAGAGCGGGCAGCCAGGAGGCAGACTTGCAGAATGTGCCCTTGGATTGAATGATTATATATTGCTGAGTGTTTTGGTGTACACCTGAAAAAACAAAAAACAAACCAAAAACAGAGGGAATAGAAGTAAATACTGTTGACTGATAATGCATGGAAGGGATTGCAATCATTGCAATGAAACAAAATATGATAGGATGAGTGATGTAAACTATCACTCAATTCACAATAAAAACTTTAAAAATACATGAAATAAAATGCTTGTGCCTGGAGCTCCCTATTGAGGTTGGTCTTACTCAGTGGGCTGCTGTATAGGCCACCTTTACCATCATGGCTTACAGCTTCCTGATGTTTGTCTTTCTGGAAGTCCTCACTCAACTGGTTTCCGCAGACACAATGGCATGGCATGAGTCTGGTGACATCACTGTGGGTGATTCCTATTGATAGGTTAATCTCAGGACAGCCCCTGACTTGGTGGACTAGAGCATTTAAGAGGGTACAAGTCACGTAACTGAATGCTTCTTGGGATTTCCTTGTGAATTAACTGAAATTAGGGGAGAGGCTCCATCTCAGAAGCTGTCCACACATCTTATTAAAACTGAAGAGCAGGAATAGGTTTGTGCATCTGTAAAAGTATAAGATGATTTTATGATGCTAAATTCTCTCTTGCTTCTCTTTGTTGTTCTTTCTGCAGTTGTCATGCCTCAAGCCCCTACACCACAAGGTAACTGGTTTATTGAAAGTATGCCCAGTAGGGTAGGAAATGGAGTTGGACCACTTTGGTAATTCATAAAGGCTTCCATCTGTCCTGGCTGCTACCAGGGGAGGGAATGTGAAAGATGGGGCCCTCTCCATTGGTGATTTATCTACATTTACATTCAGCTGGTCTCCATGGCATGAGGCTGGAGAGAATGGTAATGAGGTGTAGGCTGGACTCCCCTACATATCACGATGTATGTCCAATCCCATTTCTAGTCTCACATACTGCCTATTTTAGGGTCTTACCTACCAGTTATGCATCTTCCTTTCTCCCTTCTTCCCTCTCCAGGATAGAATCCCTCCCACCATTCCAAGCCACACTGTGTCTACTATAGCATAGCTCCTTCCCATTTTATGATTCCCAACTGTTGATGTTGCCAGAATTCTGGATTCTGCCCTTAGAAGATGATGCCAGCCACAGGTCTCTTGTCTACTCTTCCAGGAGGAAGTAATTCTTGTGGTGGAGTAATTTCAAACCTCTCAGGCTCTTTCTCCAGTCCTTGGTATCCAGCAAACTACCCCACTGATTTAGAGTGTGTCTGGGTGATACACGTGGCCGAGACGTTCCACATAGAACTGATGGTTCCAAATCTGAAGTAAGCATCTCTGCCTTACCTCCTTTCATGCAAATTAGACTTGAATCTATGTTTTCCTCAAAGAGGTAGCCTTTTCATAAGACAAACCTTTTCACATTTCAGGTGGACATTACTCTGATCATATCTGAGCTTTTTATTATTAACTGCCAGCAAGTTGGCCTCCGACTCAAGGCAACCTCATTTACAGCAGGATTGGATCACTGTGACCATAGATAGGGTCTTTTCATTGGCTGATATTTTGGAAGTAGATCACCAGGCCTTTTTTCCTAGCCTTTCTTAGTCTGGAAACCCCACTGAAGCCTGTTCAGCACCTTAGTAACTAACATGCAAGTCTCCAATGACAGTCCAGTGGTAGCTGCACTTGAGGTGCATTGGCCGGGAATTTAACCTGGGTCTCTCGCATGGAAGGCAAGGATTCTACAACTGAACCATTACTGCTTCCCGAATGAGCTTAGGAGACTACTCAATTATTTAGTGCAACTTCCTACCCGATGTGATAATATTCCTGAGCAACCAGCGCTAACCCTGCCCATTGAGCCTCAGCTGGACTGACCCACCCACGAAGACTTCGCCTCTTTACTCTCAGCCAGCTCCTTCCTCCTACTGAACCCAGATCTGTTCTTCACTCCCACTAGCTGGGCTTCATTCTCCCCTCTGCTGCTGTGCAAACCAAATCTGATTTCTCTTCCCTTCAAGAATTTGTAGCCTGTCCCTACTAAGATTGTTCTTCTATGGATTAAATAGCCTCAGCGTGTTTGTTCCTCCCAGGACAATGGTTGCTTTTCACTTAACCATTTGTAAACTAGTGTCAGATGAAACCCACCTGTACATTGAGAGTTAAATAATTTGTACCCAAACCACCTCCTCCTCAACTCACATCCAGTGCTGGGTCCAACATCTTCACTAGGAGATCTTTACATTCCCACAGACTTTCCATTCAAATAATCATTTTGTGTTCTGTTTCCTCTCTTCATGAAAGCCTCAGTCTTGCTAAGCTTCCCTCCAGCGACTGTTGTCTTCTCAACATCCTGCACCAACCATATGTGAAACACAGTTCCCATTCCTTATCTACCAACCCCACACACCCCAAAACCACCACTCACACAAGGCAGCAGGAGTGGATCAGCAGTTAGTTAAGATCTAGGATGACAGAAGTGTGGAGCAGGGATGCAAAGAACTTAAAATGGAAGATTAGTCACCTCAGTTCTTCAAAGCTCTCTGCCAACCACCCCACTTCAGAATTTCTTACTGGTCTTGTTTCAAACTCAAACCTCCCTTCGAAGCTCTTCCAACTCGCTTATGTTCCCCTCTACTCATTCTTTCTCCTCTCCACCCCCAAATGTCTCTTTACATTTTATGCAGAGCACACTTTCCATTCCTTTGTCTCCTTGTCTCCTTTCAGACAACACCCACAAACCTCCCCTTCCTTTCCTAAAATAGCCCCTCTGTGTGTCTCCCTTATTAAGGATTGTTCTCTCCTTAAGGAAATTCTGGCAGTCATTAAAATCAAAGTGTCACCCTGCTGCCCACTCAGATATCTAACCATCCATCCTCCCCACAGACAGACCAGCAGACAGGTCATGGTAACGCAGTATGTTTGGTGCAGGGTCCAGGAGTACGTACTGTGGTCAGGCCTACAGCACTCTCCATGCACCATCTTGT